CGCCAGGCCTAGTTAGAGGGCCATATCCAGTAAAGTCTTTTATCTTCAGGAATATTAAAGGCTCTTGAACAAGCTGCCTCACCTGGCAGCTTGTTTTAGTGCTTGACCATCCTCATGGTAAAAATTTTCCTGCTTATATTAAGTTAGAATTTCACATGTTCCTGCTTGTGTTCATGGCCACTTGTCATTCCAGTGTGCATCTCTGAGACGAGTTTGACTGTTTGTTCTACATCCTCTCATTAGGTAGTTGTAGACAGCAGTAAAGCCTCCTGTTAGCCTGGTGGTCTTATAGCTGAACAAATATGTTATGGGGTCCAGACTCTGACTGGTGGACCCACTTCAGTATGCCAGTGTTTTTCTTGTATGGGGAGCACAAAACTGGACACTACTCCAGATGTGGTCCCACAAGAGGCTGTGAGGATTCTATGGCATACCATGACAAAGGCATTGCTAAAATCAGCATACAACAGCCGTTGCTCTCCCCTCATTCACCAGAATCATCTCATAGAAGGCAGCAGTTGGGTTAGTGTGGCATGATTTGTCCTTAATAAATCCATGCTGGCTGTTCTCACTCACCTTTTTGTCTTTCATGTGGCTGGGAATGGTTTCCAGGAAGATTTTCTCCATGATCTTTCCAGGAACTGAGGGTGAAGTTAATGGGCCTGAAGTTTCCCTAATCCTCTTTGCTATGTTTTTTGAAGGTGGATGTGGTGTTTGCCTTTTTCCAGTCATCAGCCACCTCCTTTGATCACCATAAAGTCCAAGAGAACAGGGAGAACATCGTTGCAATGACATAAGTCAGCTCCCTCAGCACTCCAAGATCCACCCCATCTGGTCTCATGGACTTGTGTATGTCCAAATGGCTTAGGTACTTCTTAACTCAGTCTTTCGGTAATATGGGTAATGACACATACCCACAGACCCTGGCAGTAGGCTCGGAGAACTAGAGAGCCTCAGGGCAGACCTTCCAGTGAAAACCAAGGTAGAAGTGTACCTCTGCCTTTCCATATTCTTTGTCACACAGTGGGCCTGTGTCTTCCTTACCCTGCTTTTTGGTGCCGCTGTTTTTACGGAGCACGTCTTGTTGCCCTTTGTGTCCCTTGCTAGGTTCAACCCCAGTGTGGCTTTGGTTTTCCTAACTCCATCCCTGCATACTCAGGCAATGCTTTTGCATTCTCCTGAGTAACCTGTCCCTGCCTCCATTTTCTACATGCATTAGTTTTGCATTTGAGTTCATTAAAATTAATCTATCCTGGCCTTCTGCCACAGGTGCTCAACTTTCTGCCCATAGAAATCGGCTGTTCATGTGCTTTGAGGAAGTTGACCTCGAAGATCACACAATTGTCCTGAGCTCCTCCTGAAAACCCAGTTAAGGATATGACCTATCTAGTAAGACTGGATGTTTCTTAAAAATAAAATCATAACATTACAAGTTAAAAATTGATACATTTGCAGTAGAACTCAGATACAAACAGGAGAATTCCTATAATAGCACATCAACTACATCCAGCTCAAGTAAATATTCCTTTATTATGTTCCTCTACTTTGTTTCTGATTTTGATACATATGTTAATATATACTGTTTCCATTTCAGTAGAGTTTAACTGTGATGCTGAAACATGAAATATGAATTAGTTTACAGTGCTGCAAATATTACATAAGTGTATCTAACTTGAAACAAGGTCTGCGTGAATGGAAATCGTTCAGGGTACTGTTGAGATCAGTGGGACCCAAACCAAATGCACGTTTGTGGTTTAAATTAACAGCTAAAAGAATGGTATAATAGTACTGGACATCCAGGTTTTCCAAAGTGTTCTCAGTCACTGAGAAAGGTGAAACTCAGATGGGACTTCTGAGGCATAACTGGTTTCTTTATGAAAGTTCCTTGAACAGCATCTGGAATTAATGGGATCCAGGAACATTTCTTGATGGAAATTGTACGTGAAATACCGCAAGCCTTATCAAAAGTCATCTGATTCTTTTTGAGCAACCACAGTTCTGTTTACTCAATGCCAGTGCTTACTAAGCTGTCTTTGTACAAACTGAATTCTCATTTAGGATCAAAAGCTAGCTCTGTACTGGAAATAAAATGGGCCCAGGGATCGAGCTTGATCACTGGGCTACTTCTTGTTCCTGCTGTTTAATTGCTGCAATCTCCCTGCACAGTTTTTGTCTATACCACCTAGAGCTCTCTGGGGCCTTTCTCTTTTCTGGCATCTTTTGGGTGCTACCACATGCCAGGAACCATTTCCAGCAGGCAGTGTAGGTAAGACTCCACTTTTGTTTCCTTCCACCCTATACGGCCATACAACACTATCCCAGCAGCCTTGTAGCCTCAGACACCTCAGATGCCATTGTGTCACACAACGGGACGTGCCCTCATTTTCATACCATGAAAATGTTCTAATGGCTGTGATACAGTCCTCACTTTGAACTAAAAAATCCACACAAATAATATCTTAGGGATATAGGGGTACTATGTAGGACTCAGAGGAGTATAACTAAGACGACCCCAGAATCAAAATACAAGGTCAGATGTTTAGGAAGAAAGAGCGTGAGCTATGCTTGCGAATGAGAACTGTTACACCATGACACTGATATCTTATTGTCCGGTTCCAGCTGTTACAGAATTAACTTTCTTCCCAGTAGCTTGGAGTGGCGGGGGGGGGGGGGGGGGGGGGGGCCGGGGTTTTTTGTTACGAGAGGAGCGTTGATGGCCCATTGATGCTTTGGTTGTTGCTGGGTGGTGCTTGCACCGGGGACTTTTTGGCCTCCCATGCTCTAAGTGCAGGGGAAGCTGGGGGGGGGGAAGGAGCATAGCTGGGGCAGTTGACCCAGCTGGCCAATGGGGTGCTCTATACCATGTGACATCATGCTCAGTTTAAAACCCGACACGCGGTTTGTGGTCAGTGAGCTGTTGCATTGTGCATCGCCCGCTTTCTGTATTCTGTTATTGTTGTTATCATTGTTCTACTTTGTTTTATTTCCATTATTAAACTGTTTTTATCTCAACCTGCAAGTTTTTCTACTTATGCCCTCCTGATTCTCTTCCCCATCCTACCGGAGGGAGTGGGGTGAGCGAGCAGCTGCATGGTGTTTAGTTGCTGCCTGGGGTTAAACCACAACACTTACTTTCTTTTTTTAGGGACACTGGTTTCCAGGAGAGCCAGGTGGACGTGTACAGTGTGTAAGGTCAGTGCCTTAAACATGTTCCCCGTGTTGGTCGTTTACACTTTGTTCCGCATAATGTGCATGTTATTCCATCTAGATAGACTGTTCTTTCCTTCTTGTCAAACCAAGTGTGCTGCTGAATAACTGAGTCATGGATGTGTATACAAGCTAAATCCTGTGTTCTTATCTCATTCACACACACCCACAGTTGACTTAAAGAGGACTAGTATTAAAACAGTGAAGTAAGCATAAAGGTGTTAGAAAACTGGAGTTAATGTTGCCTGTGCCTTATGGCTGTAGAAACTACAGCAAAACCATGACCAGTGCTGTCCATTCTGTATATTGTCTGACTCAATGGTGCTATAATGCAAACAACAATCTGAAACAGTCCTTTCTTCCTCTTTGTTGTTTGGCTGTTAGCCTTTACAATTAAACTCTGCTCTGAACACAGAGTTATGAATTTTCTCATGGTCTCTCCTGCAGTGCTTATGAGCACTTCACAAAAATTCCAATTCAGGAAAATTTCCTGCTCTGATATAATTTTGCAGCATCTCATGGAACTTTGCCAGGAAGTTTCACAGGTACTGACAGCAGAGAGGTTAGAATCGGAAATCTGGGATTTAGCTCCATTTGGCTCCAAATGGAAGTGCATGTGCTTCACGGTTGCAGGAAGCACTCAGGTTGTTTGCACTCCCTTGTTCGGGTCCCTGCAATCTGTTCCAGTCCCTTTGCCACTCCACTGCTAACCGTACTGTCTGTAAGCAGCACCTTGCTAGATACGTTTCCAGTGTCACATTTCCCCATTGCAGCCCCTTTTCTCTCTTGCCCAGATTAGTGCCAAAGTTCAGTTTCAGCACCATGACCTTCCTAGCTGCTTTTCCATTACTGTTTTCTCAGTCAATCAGCTTAATACCTGAGTGCAGCCTGTTGGTGTGTTCCTTCTGTGCCTGGTCTTACCAAAGGCCGTTTCTCAGCAGCACCATCTGACCAGCTTCTTTTTGGTCTCGTCTATGATTTTGCTGCAGTGCCCGTGTTCACATGCTGGCTGTATGCTGGAGAGTAGAGTCCTCTCTGAAAGCAGCAGAGGAGAAACCAGGTGCTCGTTGTTTATAAGGAGTGTCTGACTTCGCTTGTAAATTTGGCCTGGAAGGAGTGTGCTCAGTTACCAGTGGGAAGTGATGTGCATGTCATCTGGTCAGCTCAAAGTATAGTGGGAGAGTTGAGTATCCAAGCTGGAGGGTACTAACTTATAAAATCTGAAGTCCAAATGCATACAAATCGTATTCTATCCTCAGGAACTGTGGTGTCCCTCATAGAAAAACCACCTGGTGGTTAAATTTCACATCCATGGCTCCAGACATGATGTAGCTAGTTGTTTTAAAAAATTTGAAATCAGTGGGACATGGGCGAAAACAGTACCTGAACTGCGTTGTGGCTAAAACTTTGCGGAAAAAAGCTTGACTAAGGAAGATGCCTAGCATGGACAATTTTGGCTTGCCTCATCAAAAGTCACTGAATTTATGCCAGGTAAATTTGGTTTTGCCTGGAAAATTTGCTAACATATAATAATTGGCAACATCAGCGACACCACTTAAATGTGTTTGTCATGGATTTAAGCGAGAATTGTGTGTTACATGAGAAAAGCATTTAGTCCATAGATTGAAATGTTTTCTGTCATAACATGGTAAACAAGATGCTACAACATAGTAATTTTCTATGTGAAAAGGTTAGAGGTTTTCTAGTGTCTAACTTGAAAATTATGTTTTAAAGATGTTTGTATTAACTGATAGTTTCTTATTTTATTTAAGTGTCTGAAGAAAACAGGAAACATGGAAGGTCATAAGTAGTAAGTACCTTGATCATTTTTTCTTATTATAAAGAGTTAATGGTGTTTGGCATGTTGATTTGTCACTGCCTGAGTCTATCACACATTATGTTCTGGCATCTAGTATTTATATGAAGTCACTGGTAGACATTCTGATTAAAAAGAATAAAAATTAAAAATTAAAAACTGCCAAAGAATGGAAAAACAAGTGACTTGACTAGGTAGAAAAATAGCATGTTATCAATTTCCCGCTTAATGGAAAGAAGTGTATGAACTCTCGTGTTTCAAGAGGCTTTATCTGTGGTCATCAACTTCAGAATAAAGTACATCCTTCTTTCAGTTATATTTTCTGATTGTTTAACGAAACCTAAGTATGTCCATGATTGCTTGACACAAGATCCATTTTAAAAGGTATTGGCAAGTGTCTACCAGTAAAAATTGTCCACCAAATATTTCGGTAATGTGATTATGAATCTTTCATTATCTTAAGCGTAAATAGGAGCCAGTAAATTCTTCAAATGAAATTAGAAGCTAAATTTGTCTGTAGTGGTAAAAGATTATATTCCTCTTATTCCTTCAATTGGTTTATCAGTCTCTAATTCAGGAATCTCTATTAATCCCAGCAATTTTTTTTGTGACCTCATATTAATAACTCATTTTTATTCCTTGCACCATGCCTCCAGAATCACTAGTCACCTCAAGTGAGGTAGATATCAAGGCTGGTTGACATCAGATGAATTATGGTGTTTTCTTCACTTGACCACTGAACTGAGATATCAGTTATTTGCACAGCTGTTGCAGAAGTTAAAGCACACAACTAGCCAGACAGCTAGGGTCTTTAAACTGCATTGTGAGCAGCTTAATTACTATTTTTAAAGTAATACTATTTTTATTAAACTCTCGTATTCTGTTTTCTCATAATGCAGGGGGATCTTGTTATTTATTAGAGGTTGTAGATTTTGTATTTTAAAGGTGCAGCATATATTAGGTCAATATAGGCTTCACCTAACTTGGTATGCTGCCTGTTGTCAGAGTCTTTAATGGTTTGTTTGTGCAGAATTCCACATGAAATGACGTATGTTTTGCATGTGTGGTTTATTTTGTGCTGTAGCATGAAGAAGGCCTTTATTTTAGTTTTAATGAAAATCATAAATTAAACTCTTGGAACTAATGTTTGGGTAGAATTAAATGGGTAAATATCTTTGCTTTTAAAGTTTGGAGAAGAAGCAAATAAGTGCTGTGTATAAGTGCATTTTGAATTTTGTCCTTGCTCACTTCCAGTTTAATTTCTTATCTTCTCTTTGGTGAGTAAGGCACTGTCTCCTAATTCACTGATTAAAAATAACTAAAGCAAGTAACAAATCCCTGTGAAACAAACTTCCTTTTCAGGTTAAACTCTGTCACTAGTAACTATGTAGGGCAGATGTGCCACCCTTTTGGGGAACATTTGTACCAATGGCTTGTTGTTTCAGAATGGCCGTAGTATTTCACAGCAAGCATATATAAATATATGTGTGTGTGTGTGTGTGCGTGTGTGTCTTAATACATGACTTGATGTGTATGTTGGGTCTGAAGACCTCTTCGGGTAGCATCCCTGAGCTGTCTGTGTGTCATGAACAGAGCTAGTGGGCAGTATCTCAGTAATGAACCACAGTTTGTCACTCCACGGGTGGAGAGTGTCTTTTTTCAAGATAAACTTAACCTCTTTAATTTTCCTGAAGTATTTAATATAGCAAGTTTTAGCAACTGTTTACTTCTAAAGATCTGCAAAATCACTGCAGCTTTTTATATATGCACGTAGGGAAAAGGCATGTACTTTTGCGGAAATTAGTAATGGAGTAACACTTCCTGAAAGAGATCAAGATTTCATTGTAAGGCTATATTTTCTATTAAACCATCTTGGTATGGTTTAAATATTGTGGAATATGGAGTTTGTCTTTAGGTTGAACTTTTTATTAGGTCTGCTACATTAGGAATGCAGAATCATCTGTCAGTAGAAAATAATCCTTGAAAAAAAGATTACCTGTTATGCACCCACAATTGTCATATAGTCATTACATAAAGACGTGAGCTATCTATCTTTCACATAGCAAGCTCAAAAGAGATAAGTGTTCTTCTAATTCTTTATTATTCAATTGTAAAAAAGGGAGGGCAAGAAGTAGTCTAATTCCATTCATAAAATGAACTTTGTAAAATCCTGGCACTGCTGAAATTGCATGAAAATTACTGCCTGCTTAAGCAACTCTGCTGGTTTACTTGAAACTCTCCTATTAGTTATATAAAAATAAAAAGTTAATTCCATGGGCTATAAATCATTCCATAACGCATTGGGAAGAATTCTTTGCAGCTGATTATTTGGCAGTACTACATGCTAAAGACCTTCAAATTGAAAGCAGTGTATTATTTTCCAAAGTAGGATGGGAAATATAGTACTAATTTAATTGCTTTGTTATTAATGCATAATGAGGAAATGCATGTTAGAATATACGTGTTTGCATGCAAATGCAATATTCTTGATGGAAGTGTATTAATCTAGCATGTTAGACTTATTTTTTAAGCATTCTATTGAAGTTTTGTAATTTTGTTTCTTACTATTCTAGCAATTATCCAAGGGAATTTTATGACCAATATGCTCAAAGCCAAGATAAATCTGTGGTCAATAAAATGCAACAGAAATACTGGAAAACAAAACAAACCCTTATAAAAGTTACAGGAAAAAAGGAAGATGAACATGTTGTGGCTTCAGATGCAGATCTGGATGCAAAACTAGAGGTTTGTAATGTTTACATAATGTGTATTCTCTATTTCTTGATTTTTAAAATGTTTTCATTTCCATCAACCCTCTAATTTGTGTACACATAGTCTATAATAGTGTATATACATTTTTATCATTCTTTTCTTATAGTATCTTTTCCAATTTTTGACAGAAGTACCTATATGAATACAGGGGATATCGTGGACACTGTATGTCCCTCAAACTTTATTTGGAACCTAACATCTCTCATATTTATTTTCAGCTTTGGGGGGCAGGTTTTTTCTTTTTTGTTGGCAGATGGGAGCTGGGGATCATCCTTTGTGCTTATATCAGTCGTTCTTATCTTTTGCTTATGTCAGTTTAAGACTTTTTTAAAAAATAGTATTCTATAGTATATACAAATGACATTCTTTATACAGTTATAAAATACCACATATACCAGAAGAACATGCAACATGCCAAGAAGGAGCAAGGCGCATAGTGCGCTCTGCTCTCTGGAGCTTTTGTGCAGATAAGTGGGTTTTGACGTGACCAAAGAAGCTTCTGAAAGTCTGTAAAGTGTAACCAAAAGAAGCAATCCTGCTGTGTGACAAATACAGTCCTACTATCATTATCCTCAACCCCACTGGAAAAAAACCCCTAAAGTTCTACAAATTGAAGAGCTTGAACATCTTTGACACAAAGCAAAAGATAGAGAATGGACTTCTGAAGTGTAATAATCAAGTTAGTGTCCAGCTAAGTTTTATCGGTACTGTTCTGTTACATAGGGTAAAGGTTTTGCCTTACTGGTTTTCTTGCAGTTTCTTAGAAAATTGTTGACTTAGGATTCTCAGTTTATTCACGTTTTAGCTGAAATACAAGAGGCTGTTCTGCCACAAACAAATCTTTGTAGTTCTAGCTATGATAGTGATAACTTATAATGTGATGATTCTAGCTGTAGGGGTCTTCATGATCGGTTATAAATCAAGAGTAGTGATGCAAAACAAACTGGAAGGATGGAACAATATTTTATAAATATATACCTGAGTTTCTATCATGCTTACTATGTTGTAGATTAATCAGGAAGGATGTTTGTTAGCTCAGGTGGGATTGCAAATAGGGAAATTTGTGTTTACCAGATAAAAAACTATAAGCATATTTTCACTTGGACAACTTCTCAACTGCAGGTCACGCTCTCAGTTTAAAAGACAAGACCCATGTAAATGTACAGGAAGTTAAGCAGATGCAAAGGAAGACAGTTGCTGTGCCAGTAGTCTATCTTGCTTATATTTGTGTAATGCTTGGTACAGTGGAGTTTAGGTTTAAGTTACAAGTTGGAGGTTTTAGACGGACAGACAGAAAGAGTAGTAATTTTTCTATTTCCTGGAGACAATATCCAAACTTAGTCAAGACTGACTTTTTTCCTCTACTTCCTTTGGCAACTGCTGCTTTATAAATTTGGTTAGAAAACTGGAGCTATGCCAGTAAAAAGTTCAGTTTACATCAATAACTTTCTATGTTTGCATACCAGTGCAAGTTCGTTCCACTAGGCTTTGCAGTATTGAAAATTCAGTATGCATATTGCCACACGTGATAAACATGATAGACATTTTGATAACTTTTTTCTCTACTGTGAGTTTTTATAGAAACAAAGATTTTTACATCTTCATACATATCCAAATATATCAATAAAAGAAACCCCAACATTAGTAGTTTGGTTAACTATCAGCTGTTTAGAATAGATCTGTTTCCAAAATTATTTTTGTCTTTATTTTCCTTTTGTAAGTTATGATTGGTATGTCTGTAGTTTCAGTGGACAACTTAAGTGAAAGAAAAGCACAATTGATAAGGAAAAATTACTTTCAAGCTGGAAAGATTACTCATTGTTCAAGAAGAAAATAGTGATCCCTAATAATTTCTACAAAAAATTAAGTTCTTTCTTGTATTTTAATCATCAGCGTTTCTTGCATATGCTTACAATTTTTTTTGTGTATTTTGTTTCAATATCAGCTGTTCCATTCTATTCAGAGAACGTGTATGGAGTTGCTGAAAGCAATTGAACTGTATCAAAAAAGGATTTGTTGTAAGTATGATAAATACAGTAGTTAAAATGATAAGGAGGTCTGCATTATGGAATCATCGAACAAGAGGAAAAGTAAAAATGAAAATGGGGAGCTACTAGTTTCATCCTATCTAAAAATAAAGATAACATTCCTTGCAGTCAGCTAAAGGCAGACTTGCTTATTTGCGAGTGAAGATCTCCTAGTTCTTAAGTTTTATATTTGATATTATGTAGTGATAGGTAGCAATAATTATGGGAGAAAGCTTGCTTTTTAAGTTGGTTTTTTTTTTTTCGTTACTTGCTTGGCTTGTTTAAATTCAGAAGTGTCTTGTCTAAGAAATCCTAACTCTGTTTTGAACTGGTTTAAGTTTTTTTAATCAGGATTGACTATGAAGAATATTGGGCTTATTGCTAGTTTTGTAATTAAGTTATCCATGCTATTACGATGAATTTGATAATGCTGACTTGGCTGTAACAGGTATACAGTAATTAGTGGCAGTCATTAGTGAGAGACAGGGACCTCATTTGGGAAGTTTCAAAGAGCAGGTTGTACTAAATGACCTCTAAGGGTTCTCTGCAATCAATATTGTTTGATTATCTGCTGCTATGATTTCTGGCCTGGAAAAGAGAATCGAGCTTTGGAGACATCTTTCAATTTACTTTCTTTTGTTGAATATTATCCATATTTTCTCCAGTCTTTCCTTCTTCTTTTGCCTGGCCAAAGAGTCAGAGGTTTTCAGGATCTGGAGGTAAAATTAGAATACAGAATACAGAATAGTAGTGTCTTGAGTTCAAGAAGTGTTGCACAGTAGCAGGTGAAATCTCTGACGCAAAGATGTGCATGCAGCACATTCTACCAGAGTGTGCTGTGAGTCTGCATTGGATTTGACTGTCAACATTTGAAAAAATGACAAGAGGACTTTAAGAAATCTTCTTTCATTATATTAGGCCATTCTCCTTATTGATAGAGGGAAGAAATTGGTCCTATAGGAGACAGCTGCTTTGGAAGACTAATAGATGAGGCCATAATGAAATGTTTTTGTAAGGATGTGAGATCATGAAGACTATATGATCCCAGTTTGGAAGTAGTCAACAAGTCAGTGTAATAATTTCAGATATTTGAAATATAAATTAAAAAATACTGTTTGAATTATGTAGAATGTTAAAATTGTAAAATAATCCTGCAAAGTAATTTGAAAATAAATGTTCTTTAAAATGAAGTACTAGATTTTTCATATGAAAAATTCATTTCTGTAGTCAAGCATGGAAAATGGAGAGTGAGAGAAAAGCAAGTGAATGAGCTTTGGGTAGTGTAACTCAGAATTCGCTTCAGTGAAAGTATGCTACCAAAGATCAGCTGAGGCAGTCCAGGTGGTAAAAAAGGGTTAAAAAAAAAAAACCCAAACCCAAAAACCAAATAAATCAAAAAACCCAAGGCTAAAAGATATTATAATCAAGATTGGGCCCTTTGTATAATCTAACCAACCTAATTCTTTTTTTTAATAAAGAAATAGCATGTTTTTCCTGTTGTCTTTTGGCACTGATGGAATTTTGTCATTCTTGTTAAGTATATCAACAAATGTCTCGAGTGAATCAGATCTTCTATTTAATAAATGCAGGAATTCCATGAAATTATTTATTTTTTCTGTGCTGTAACTTAACCTGTTTGATACTAGGTCAGTTTTAAAGCTGTTACGAACCTATTAAATAACGTGTTTGACCACTCATTTATTTTTCGTTAGTTCTGTCTCAGGAAGAAAATGAATTGGGGAAATTTCTTCGATCACAGGGTTCTCAGGATAAAACAAGAGCAGGAAAAATGATGCAAGCCACAGGAAAGGCCCTCTGCTTTTCTTCTCAGCAAAGGTATATGTGTCAGAATTACTGTCTGATTTACAAAGTACATGGGATAATGGTAGTTGATTCACCGTTGGCATAATTCATTTTCCCATTTGAAATGTGTGAGGAGCCAAATGATAGGAATGTTGTTATTGACCAAACCTGCTGTAGTATTGGCCATATTACTGGCTTGCTCTATGTAGTTTTGCCTGATGCTGTTTTTTGTCTTATGGACCTGCTATGTCTGTGTACCTCCAGATCACCCACCTGTGCCTGTTCAGCTCAGCAGTTCTAAAGCTGTACAGCTGCATCTGCACGGCCTCTCTAGCAGTGGGATTGTAAAGGACCTGATGTCAGGTCCCACTCCTGCTTGGTGGCACTTCTCACTCTGCAGAGAAATGCTACAGCAAGCTCGTTGTGGAGGTGTCTGGGTCCTGGGAGGGCAGGGAAATGGTTAAGGGAATGCCTTTTTCTGGGCCATGGAGTCTCATACCTCAAGTAGATGGAGGAGAAAGGAGGAGTCTGGATGCCATTTTCTGCTTTAACCTCACACCATGAAGTCTCCCAGGAGAAGATCCTAGATCACCACTGAGCTCATGTAGGTTGGGTAGAACCAAATCAGTAAAAGGTAAGGAATCCAGAGGGACACACATACACACAAACACATGCTGTTATCCAGAGCGCTTGATGTCTCACTGACCCTGTGTTTGCTCAAAGAGTTTAAAAGTAACAGTACCTGATGGCATTATGAGTATTATGATGCTTTTTTTTAACAGTATTGGGACTGTGAAAGTTTGAAATTCACCATCATTTGCAAGGGAAAATTCTATTCCATGGTATTTTACAGGATTTTTTGGGGCTCTTAACTATTGTGATACTTTCCAGCTTTAGCTTAACATGCAGCTGTTTGGCTCAAAATAAAACATCGCATACAGAGCACTGGGAATTTCGTATGTTTATCTTGGGCTAGAGTTTGGTCATTAGCACATACAGTAACAGCCATGTTAGGCACCTTTGAGCAAAAGTCCTGATGATTTGCTTCTTTGTAAAGCTTATCTGTTTATAGAAATCCCAGTGTATGACATGTCTACATAAACTGAATTTTCCTTTGAATGGCTGGGTATTTGTAGAATGAGAAAAAATGTGGGGAAAAAAAAAAGCCACACTAAGAAGTTCATATTTTATTGTATCTCTTACTCAATGCATTTTTAAGGCATCTTTTTAAATAAACTCATATAAAGATAAAACCAACTGTTTGTCTGTCTTCTCTTGAGCTATCCTCAAGCTCACGTTGAGGTTGGGACTGCTGTTATTTACGCTACATGCCAATAGCCAGCTCGTAGCTGGAGATCAAGAAGGCGCAATTTGCTGGTTACTGGAGCTGAAATTGGGAATTCTCTTATGCCTAGGAAGTCCCTAAGTAGCACCTTAAACTAACTCTACACTGGTGTGGAACTGATTGAACCCATTCCAGTGAGGTGGCTGCTGACAACCAAGAGGAAAGGAGAAGCAGCAGGAGGAAGCAAAGCAAAAGTTGCAGTAATCCTGTCTAGTTTTGAGATCCCATTAGGAGCTGAAGTGATGGCATAGGGAAGACAACAGTGTCCCCTACTGCCTTTCCAAAGTGTAGTTGCCAGAAGAAACATTTAAGAAAATGCCTAAAACCTTCCAAAAGATAAACATCCTTCAAAGGAATTGTTCAGATTTCTTTTAAAAAAAAAAAAAAATCAGATAATTATCTACTTGACAGATGACTTCTTTATTTACATGTACATTTGAAGATTAAAAGGCTAATGGAAGTGCTTTTTCTGGGGCTTAACATGACAATCCTGATACATCTGTGGTATGTATCCAGTAATAAATTACCTTAGGTACATTTTTAGAGTTGTTAAATGCAACTTGCAAAGAGGAATGTTAATAGCATACATACAAGCAGCTTGGCTAACTAAAATACATATATGCATTAGAAAAGGTTCCTTTTCCACTCACATGTGTAAGTGAAAGGTCACTACTTGAATAGGAAGGTTGCAAACACAGTATTCGTGCAAAATTACCCCGTTCATGTGTACCCCCAACCAAGTTGTAGAACCATCTGAACATACACTAGCACTTAAGTGAACTATTTTGGCTGTGTATGTTTTTTTAGTTGCTAGTAAAGTGTCAGTAGTTGCATTAATCCGTCTGCCTTTGTGGAACAAGTTCTTTAACATGTTCCTTTCCTTCCTTTCTTTCCTTCATGCCTTCCCCAGATTAGCACTGCGTACGCCTTTGAGTAGATTATATCAGGAGGTGGAGACTTTCAGATACAGAGCCATCTCAGACACATGGCTGACAGTAAACCGAATGGAACAGTATCGGACTGAATACAGAGGAGCTCTGCTTTGGATGAAAGATGTGTCTCAGGAACTGGATCCAGATCTTTATAAGCAGATGGAAAAGTTCAGGAAGGTATGAAGTTTCGTGTAGTTTCCTGGAAGGGGATGGCTGATGAACAGCAATGAAGCGTGGTTTTGATCCTTCTGAGGAAGACATAATTCAGCAGCATTAAGGATGCTATTTATCGTAACTAATCTTTTCTGTGTGACAGAACTCCAGTTAATCTGATATGAAATATAGTGTCCTTCACAGAGTGGGCTGTAAGGAAAGATATGGTAGTAAGAAACAGCATTTTTCAGTAGTCTATTCAACTTCAGCCTAAATCTCTATAATTTAAATAATATGTATTTTTAAAGAAGGTTATCTAATTTTAAATACTTAGCTGTGATACCTGAATGACTAATGGAAGAAAATATGTCTGCTGTCAGCCAGGCAAGGGAAAATGGATTTTTGCAACTAGAAAGTACAGAATTAACAGAAATGCTGTAATATCTGCTGCTAAATTTTTGGGTGCAGTTAAAAATGAGCATTTTCAAAATTGGCTATTGTTGGATTTTGGGGCCAAGTTGCAAATTTGGAATTTGTTTTTAAGTTCCTTGTGCAGTTCAGCATGACTCTGGGCAACTGCTAAACACTAAAGCTGCTAAGAATGCACTCTCCATAAATCGTCTTCATTCAGTGTCACTCAAATTTGCTATACTCCTCCCCTCCCAAACAGCTTCCAAAAGTCACAAGTCCTAGGTGGTATGCAGATTTGCTACCAGGTGCAAGCATAGAATTTATTTGGACTGATCCTGTCCCAGTCGGTTCAGGAGTGCTCACGAGAATTTCACATTTTCTAGTAAGGCTCTAGGGCCAATTTTGTTAAAAGACTATAATGTTCCCAATTTGTTGTTTATAAATCTTGACTATTAGGAGGAGTTAGGATCCTAGGTATAACATGGTGGCTTGTGCTTTGACTAAAGGCAGTAAAAAAACTTACAGAAATTGTGTGATAATTGAAGCAGAGGCCTAATAACAGAAATTGTATTAAAGTGTACATGCATGTGCTTGTGGCTTAGAGACAGGTAATGTACAGAAGAGAATCCCTGTTCATCGATGGCTTGAGCAGTCTGTGACTGAAAGTGTTTGGAGATGAAAGATACTTAATGTGGGTTTTTAAAAGCTTGAATAAACGATCCTAACGGGAAAGGACTGGCATGCATCTAGGCTATGCCATTTTTTTGTAAACTGAAGTGGTGACAATAGCAATTAAGGAAGGGGTGGAACAAATGAACCCCCAGCTAGTCATCTAATCTTTGTTTAATGCTTCGGTACAGGATATTCCTGTAAGTCTTGTGGCACCAGACATGTATTTTATTATGCCTTGTGGGAAATGCTTATAATGGCAAGTTCTTGCAGGTAAAATAATTGGTATGGTCTTGGCCTCAGCCAGTTGCTTATGTATAATGTTTGATTTATTAGAAAAACACTTAAAAAATTGAATGTTAGAATGAATAAAGCAGTACTGGTAATGGTCATACAAAATTGATTTATAGCTTTCTTGCGAAACAAATGCTATGGAAAGTATAAATTATATAAATGGCGAAGTAATTAAAATAATGTATGCTTTTGTAACTGTAGTTAAAAAGTTAGATGTGAATTTTCAGCCATCTTGGGTTGCTGTGCTTCAAGATCAGCAAAAATAAGGTGGGTTTTTTTCTTTTAAAGCTCTCACAAAACTTAGTAGTAAAAATGTGGAAGTACTAAGTATTTTGAAATATTTCTAGGTCTGAAATGAGTTATATTCTGACATAAAGAAATAATGAATGTAGATTCTAAAATTCTGTAGCGTTACCTCAAATAGTTTAAAAAAAAAAAAAAAACTTGATAAGGTCTTTTGAACCTTTCTTTCTTTCCTCCGACGGGCTGTCAGCTGAAAACCTTTCAGATCACATTGTAATGCAGAGAACAAAAAGCTCTATATTTTGTAGCCGACACAGTAAAGAAATGCCCTTGGTATCCACTTCCCTACATAACCCATCTGTGCAACAGGCATATCAAACCAGTCTTTGAAGATTTTAACACTTGCAGAAAGTAAACTTTTTTCATTTTGGAGAAAAACCCCCAACATTACAAAAATAAAATCCTCAAGAATAATGTGCCTAGACAAGACACAACAGTTTGTTTTTAGTGCTTTACGAATGTAGTAGGCAAACAAAACTAATGGTGGATACTGTAGTCCTAAATAATGAAAGTAGAGGACTTATTTTTATTGTCTTTTTGTTCTATTCTTGCTTGCAGATCTCAATTGTGCCATAGTGTGGCAGTGTAATGCTGGGTTTTTAGGGCTTATTTTGGATCTGTAACAACAATTTAAGAAGTCATGCTAGTTTTGTGTTGAGAAAGATATCATAATTACTGATGTAAGGTTTTTGGTTCTAAAGTATACCATCACCGGAGAGAAGTGTTTGATCTGGAGCTGCATATCTAGTGATACACCAGCAAGTAGTTAATGAAGCTGATGCTGTTGGAGCACTTGAAAGAAAGTTTTCTTCAGACCTCTAATTATAAAAATCCTCAGTATTACTTTAGTAAACATCTCTTTTTATTTCAAGTAAACAGTGCTGGTTTAGTGATCTTTAGTGCACCTAGTGCATCAGCAGTATTTATATCACTTGGTTTTAAGACTGTTTTTCAAGTATGTAGCCTTTTATAATGTAATCCTAAATGTATCATTATGTATACAGATATGGTACTTGTTTTTGGAGACCAAAGCTAAATCAATCCAGATGGGTTTTTTTGTACCTTCCCTCAGAATAGCTCAGCCTAAAAGATCAATAGTTGAGTCAGTATTTTCAGAGCTGATAAAATCTGAGTTAAAACATTGGCATTTTTGTAGCTCTCTTTCAAAACAATGAGGTACTTGAAAGAATTTTCTAATGCTGTTCTCAAGGCATCAATCTAAATATGTGAGACCCGGCAATACTGCCACTTCCAAAGTATCCCAGAATGCTGCAGAACAGCCTTTTTATGTTGTTATTTAAAGATACCCTTGTGATTGTAGCTACTTGAGTCAAACCAAAGAAACAGGTGAAGTATTTACTTTTGCGTGCAGAATTCTATAAATGCTATGTACCTTCATTCTTTTTTTTTTCCTATTAACAGTTTTTATGGACACTCCAGTGCTGTTCTAGATATAGAGGTCTTCCATCCCAAGTTCAGAGTTTGAAGTGTTGCTTGAGAGAATCTAAACAGCGCCTTGGCAATGCTGTGATATTTAAAGGAATTTGAAAGAGATAACACCCCTTTACCAAATTCTCCACTACTGATCAGGTTTTTAAGGTTCTTAAATGCAGGCTGTTTTTTTCTGTCTGGTGACTGTACACTACAGCATGAGCTCTGCCATGATGTAAAAATATAGACCAAATTGCCCAAGTGCTGATAGTCCCCCAGTGTCCTTCCTCCAGCTCTGAAAAAGTTAAGCTTTTCCGTGCATTTCCTGAGAATCAACGTGCGAATATGCAGAGTGATAGGCTATGCCCCGAGGCAATAGCCTCCCATGTGCAGCCTACAGGAACACAGAAGAGGCTCTGCTGTTCAATTTTACTTAGCTAAGCTATCTCAGATGCTTATACAGTGCAATATAGACAAACCTAGACATTACAGTGCCACCTATAACAAGTAAAAAGTGAGAGCTGAAAAAATTATCATGCTGACCTTTAAGCGAACTATAAGAAAAATCACATCTGTGACATGGCAGGATATATATCATGCTACATTGAAAGAGCAAATGAATCCTTTCTATATTTTTTTTTTTTTACTTCCATCATTTTTCTACTCCTCTGCTTCCCCTTCATTCTGAGGCTTGAACCAAAGCTGGAGTAAGTAGCTTTCTAAATACCCACTGACCATGCTGGGATCCCTGAGACAAGCCGCACTGCAGCGGTGTACTGAGAACTGGGTACCTGGGGGGTTGGGCTCTGTTTCTCCCTGTTATCTAGTCCTCTCTGCTTTGCCAAAGCTGCTTTCCTAGGAGCTCTGCTTCTGTATGAACCAAACGAAGCTCAGATCAGAGAAAGAATAGGTTGAAGCTGTGTAAGGGTAAGGAGTGATGCATGGGCTGGTTGCAGCAGAGCTTTCTAAATGCTATGATATTCATCTGCTTGGAATACAGTGCAAGTCCTGTATCTATAGTACTCAGATATTACAGCAGTAAATATCTAAGTTTGTAAAACAGTATGTATGAGATGATGGGGTACTGTCTGGAAAAAGAGTTGGGTTTTGATCAATATATTTGCGTGGGATCTGTGGGAGGAACAAGTAGCATGGTTTGTGCTGTGCCTCTTCGTTCTGGAAGGTTAGAAAGGCCCCACCCCACAGTGCGGAGCCCTGAACTACTTCAGTGGTGTTAAAGAAGTGGACTAGATCCTACCATGGACGAGAATTGTCAGAATATTCCCCAGAAGATCCTGAACACTTGTAGGACCCTTAATGCCTAGCTGTTACTTTACATGCAGCTGTGGAGAAACTTGCAAGCTTGTAGCTGAGTTGTCTGGGCACAGTTTGTCTCGAGTTCTTCCTAGTTGTAGCACTCTATATACTTGAAACAAAATTAATGCCCTTAAATGGCATTTTAAAGATAAATCTGGCAAGAGAAAAGGAAAGGCGGTGAGAAAAAGGAAAGTTCAACAAGAAGAACTCATAATGATATAACAATAGCTCAAACTGTTGTTTTTATAAATGTACTAATGTAGGGAGTGGCTGATCTATGAAAGTTCTCTGTTAAATGTCTTTTAAGAAATAAAGGTTAAAGCTTGTGTGGACAGCTGGGGAATAATGAAGATCTAAATAAATCCATTGATTAAAAGGTCAGAAGGGAAATGCTGAAGTATATGTATTCATTGTAAAGATCTCAGCAAGTGTGGATACGATACATCTGCCGCAGCCTTACAGGGAAGGCTGTTCCCCTGCTGTCCCCTTGGCTACTAGCACTGCCTGGTATCAGTGCATTTTGGCTTGTGTGATGATGAAGGGGCTGCACCCTGTTACAGCATCATCTGCTACATCTGCTATTCACCTATCTATTAACA